CGGAGGGCGGGGGAGGGCGTTTGAGAGGGTGTTTTAGGGGTGTGAGGAGGGGAGTGAGGGGGGTGGTATTGCGCGAGGGGGCTTGCATGAGGATTCACAGAAGGGTTTGAACAGGCCTTGCATGAGGGTTCACAGTGGGCTGGGGGGTGTGTGGGAGGGGGTGGATAGCATACAAGGAGGTTTTGCACGAGGGTTTGCACAGGGGTTAGCACAAGGCTTCATGGGGGGGTGGAGTGTGGGGGAGGGGCTGACACGAGGATTTAGGCAAGGCCTTGCACGAGGAGTCAGACAAGGGTGTGCACAAGGGTTCAATGGGTTGTGGGGGTGTGGGGGAGGGGTTTGAGGAGGGATTTGCTGTGTGAGGGAGGGGTGTTGATGATGGTATGTGAGGGTTTGTAGGGGGGGTCTTTGGTGGTTGGAGGTGTTTTGGAGGAGGGGGAGGGGGGATGGGGGAATTTGCAGAGAGGCGGAGCAGGGAGGAGGGGCTAGCAGTGCACGAGTTTACTTGCACGAGTGTTTGCACAAGGCCTTGCAAAAGGGTTTGCACGAGGGTTCGGAGGGGGCTGAGGGGTTGGTGTGGGAAGAGTTTGAGGGGGGTTCTGGATGTAGGGGAGGCGGGGAGGGAGATAGATTATGGCACACAAGGCAGGGCTTGCACAAGGATTTGCACGAGGCTGTGCACGAGGGGTGGCATGAGAGTTCACAGGGGAGTTGGAGGTGGGAGAGGACGGGGGAGTGGATTGTGGCACACAAGGGGATTTTGTACGAGGATTTGCACAAGGTTTTGCACGAGGCCTCTCATGAGGGTTCATCATGTGAAATGTGTTCACCTGATTCGTGTCAATATGGACTAATGCTAGGGCTGCATGGTGAAATGTGACTTTCTGTCTTATATACCCTTGTATAACCACAGACCTAAGAGAAATGGAGTGGTTAATGTATATAGTTTTAGCTTTTTGTAAAATACATACTTGTGTGTTAGTTTGGACCGGTTTTGCTGGACTGGTTTTGCTGTTAACCGTATGGTGTCAAGCCATAAAAATCTGGAGTCATCCTAAGGGTGAGCCGAGGAAGGCCATGC